GGTCACATTCCACAGGCATTTTTAAAGAAAGAAACTGGATGAAAAAAACGAATAAAAGACGCCTTAATTATCCAATCCTGCGAAAATGGCAACCGCTACAAAGAATACAAATTCTGCACGGACTGGAAAGGCCCTATTAAGTTCATCACCAAAAGAATATTTAACCAGCATACCTTCGGTTCCAGACGTCACAACAGCTGCGGACCACAGAATCAACTGCAGAAATCGAACCAGACGATCGTGACGAGGGCTCGTAAAAGACGAGCCGAAACGTGGGTAGTGATCAATCATCCAGTTGACAGATTTGTGCTCGTTATATATAAATATTTCTATACATTATTCAATTTGATCAGCAACGAGCGAATAAAATACTCAATACCCGAAGAGCTGTATTTACAAATTAAAAATCAACACTTAAATTGGTTACTGAGGAAAACGTCGCTTCGTTCGAAGATGGAACAAAATTTCTTACCTTGCTGCTACAATAATTAATTACAGGAATTCTAAAGGAAGCACAACGAATTATGAATGAGTTGCATAATTATGAAGAATAAACGTTCCATCCAGCACAGATTATCTCCGTCGCATTATCTCCATAAAATACAGATGGAATAATGCAACATTTGCTGTCATCTTGTATGATTATACCTGTGATAGTCGTAACAACAACAAAATACACGTAAAGTAAAGTTAACAACATCTGAATTGTTAGGTTAATCTAAAAATCAATAGCAATTTTTCTAGGCGTGCAAAACAGCCGTAACAATAATAAAAGCAGATTAAAATTATTAAAACAGTATATGCTATAAATCGGGGAACGAACATACGTCTATGAAATACAAAACAATAAAGCCTACTAAACGACTGCAAATTTCCCTGCCGTAGAAAACGTTGAAGAATGAAACAAATAGCATCGTTCTGTTATTCCTTGGCACTAGTAAATGTATTGATGATCGCAACGATTGCCGTACCACTACCGACGAACATCCCAATCAATCCGAAGAGGCAGACAACAGTGTTCCTGACGATCAGCCATATCCACTGTGGGTCGCGAGAGTTACCGTTATAGCAACACGCGGCCTCAATGACAGGCGGGAAGATGAACGTCAGGATAGAGGCGGTCAGCGATCCGACGAGGGCTAGGAACAAGCCAAGCTGCGGCACCAGTTCGGCCATTGCGACTTAAAGTACAAAATCAACATAATACCAGTTTAACAGAAAATGTGCTTTACGTACACGTAATTAGTACCAGTACATATCGAACCGAATATTCGACGAACAAGTACAATTTCCGGTTGTTTCGGAACATTCGCTGGATCTTGCGTGATATTACCTCCATCGGTACGTAAAACTGAACAGGGTATGACAAAATAACGGCGATCGCGATCAGCATTTTTACGGTTTGGTATAACCTATAAAAATTGTACAGATAAACATTAATGCTGCAACATTCAGGAAGAAAAATTCGCATTATGGTTAAAAACAGTATTGGAATTAGTTTAAGGGGTAAAAGAATAAATGGTGGTTATTAATTATAATTATTCACCGAAGATACGCGTATTCCCTGAGAAAATAAGAACTCAAAATTCCAGAAATAATAGGCAGAAATAGATACAAATGTTGCATATCATTTTTGTCTACCTTAAACGTCGGTCAGTGACGTTTCCACGCAAAAATGAAGCCATAAAAGGAACCCATATAATTTGCAAGTCTATCTGCACCTATCATTCCGCTAAGACCCTCGTACGCCTCAATCGAAGGCTCACTAGCTTATGCAAAATTTTTCGTTATCAAAGATTTAACACTTATTTTATTATTCCATTGGGTAAAATGAGTACACAGGTCTCATGCTCAGGGCTACACTGAAGTAATGTGGCACTGTAGTCCACTATAGTGATAGTATTTCTAACTGACGTTGTGTATTTGCTACCATCAAGAGTAGTTATCCGCCCATACTAACACCGACTGAAACAGATTTGCAATTCAGCCAAAGCCTACAATACCACGTCTTCACCAAATCACTTCTAAGCCTACATTATGCCTAAGCCCTGATATTGTTGCTTGTATGTTTAAGTTTACGCCGTGGATTTGTTGCAGGCTGAGGCTTCACCAGGACTGACGTTACAATCACAAATTACCAGTCTGGGGTGAAAAGAAAACTAATTTCATCCCATACCGGTATGGGCGGATTAGCACATTGGACGGCAACCTATTCACTGAAAAATTTGCCACAGCAACCTTATAGGCACAAATTCAAGTCTGACGGCTGAAAGTTTAACTTCTGTTATTTATACTTCTTCCTCTCATACCTCAATCGTCATATCTTCTCCGGGTGTCGACTAAAAATGACAGGCCAAGTATCGATAAACCGCCTTCATAAAATTAATCTACCAATTTTCAAAAAAAATCATTTTCCTTCATCAATCATAAATTAATGCACGAAAACATCACATCATTCGGTTGTCAGTTATGCTTATGCGCAACTGGGTCTGGGATTCGACCTCATTACGACCAATATAAATGGAATCGCCTGTGTGCAATTTTACATTGGCGACGCAATTTATACGCAGGTCATTTGCGAATCAAAATTAACCATGGCAATGTCGCTATCAAAAAATCTGTTGATCATGTTGATTAACCGCAAAACGTCGATTAGGCATATAGTTTCATAGATGAGATAAAACGATCAGTCATGGCAAATATCCGTTTCAGTTCTGTAAGCGAGAAAAAACTTTCACAGCAGCAACAACACTCACGGTTGATCCATAGGCAAGTTCAGGGTGATACTGGGTGCGACGTTGGAACCGAATCTGATGTAGCCATAGAAGCCAACCGCTAGATACAGAATAGTCACTACCGCGCTGCCAGTGTTCACAACGCCGTTCCAAGTGATAAAGTCACCCGGAAACTTCGAACGGTTTTCTATGGGCAGAACCTAACGAAGAGCAGCGTATTTATGAAAAACCTTGGCGGAAGGACAGACATGTTTCAAAACCTTTTACTTACCAGACAAACGGCAGAGAACGAGAACATAATGGCGCCGAATGCAAGAGGCATTCCGGACAGATAGAACCCGCGTACATGCGACAAAGAACTTGGGAAGTCATTGAACATGTACTGAAAAGTAATGGCAATGCCGACCAAATAAATCAAGTTGGCAAATGTCGATGGGATTGTTAAGACCTTCAGCTCCCGAATGGAGCAAAGAATTAACATGATGGGCAAGCAAAACGCTATGTACGCCGCAAGGCTGAACCTGCCCTGAAGATCAATTGCCTAAAACATATACGATAAGCACATGTGCTGAACAGAACAGCATTTTCAAATGATGCAGGTACTAGGTGCTATTAGCTTGAGGACAAAAACGGATTATATGTACTGCTTGAATAGTATCCGAAATGACGCCCATTTTTGGAGAAAGATAATACATCATCATGAATAATATCAGTAAAATGAGAACATCAAATAAATGCGTACAATCATCCAAAAAAGGAAAAACAGAAAAACAAATAAAAACCAGGCGACGAAAGAACATGTAGAATGTAATAAAAACAAACCGAACCATGTAAATAGTCGCTTAGCTCAAAAGAAACAAAATATATACTAGATGTTTTACATTAACGCATACCGTTATCCCTATCTTGGAATGCAGCGAGAAAGCTTGTTCAGATCTGACTCTAAAGGTATTACTGGCTAAAGGACTTAAAGTTGCTTCTGACAGAATATTTCACCACTAATTGGTAAAAGGAGAAATCATAATAAGAACAATTCGCTTCTTACAGCCACATCGTCGTTTGCACGAGTCAACAATTGTGTTACAACCATAGGCAGATGAGTTTGTTCGAAATCTTCGCTGTGGCAGCGAACCACGATGAGTTGAGTAAGCTTGTGACGAACAAACTATTCGTTCAATAGTACAATGGGGCCAACGCAAAACATCACACGTACATCAGAATGTCATCGGCGGAAATCGCAAATCAAAAGACGATCACTAATAGGAACAGGAACGCCTGTTCTCTGACTGAAACGAACCAGAAATGGGATGATGAAATGGAGCGTTATCAGCTGGATATGCATGCTTGAAATCTTTTCTATCAGAAGCCGCTGCTGCAACATTTTCATAATCAACAATAGGCTACTGCCTTCCTCTCAGGAGCTAACCTACCGATATGCTCGCTCAGCCAGCATGAGTGATGACATTCATTAGACCCGGTTAATACGCTGTGCTGTTGAATGGCCATGTGTATCTGCGCGTTGAAAGAAACTCATAGCCAGACGCGGGACTCTGATAATGCTGCAAGAGTATCCACACTATTCATTGCTGGAGAAAGAGTAAGCGGTCTAGAGGAAGGCAGCTAGGAGAATTCTGCATATGTTGCAACATGTTCAAAGTCAGCGCACTGCAAATGAGGTGCCAGGAAAAAAATGTATACATAACGGAGAGCTTTCATCAACGATTAAAAAAGAACAAGACAATCGACATAAGAATAGGTCAAGCAATGAGCGAACAACAAACCGGGATCTAAACTGGTTTAATGAAGAAACAGCCGAGTCACAGTACGAAGCAATCTGTCTTCAAAGCCGCATATGCACCTATCTTCAACTATAGCAATGTCTGCCAGAGATCTACTAAAAGAATGAAATTACGAAGAACCGGATCAATGGATTTTATAAGCTGATGCTCTGCTGCTCGCAAGGAACAACAGACTTTGATGGACAGACGGATAAATTACATGCCATAAAGTACAGTATCATGGTATGTATGTATGCGTATCTCAAATAATGTGTTCAATAAAATAACATCGTTGATCATCGGAACGAAGATGCGTCGATTTACGTGAGGTGAGATTTGGAATGATGAACTACGAATGTGAGATATATAGTGAAGAGAAAGTCTGTTACTTACTTGTCGGACATTTTCAGCGATGAATACGAAGAACACACCGCACATACCGAACTGAGTGATGGCTAACGAAATGTTGACGGTATTTCTAAAAGTTGATATGTAAAAGCTATATTGCTTTACGCCGTAAGAAGTTCGAAAAGGGACAGAAAAATATTTAATACTTAGGTTATCAGTCTCACGTATAGAGTCATGATTGAACGACAACTGTGGCATCCTTCTCTTTGTTTCACGAAGCCTATGGTGCGGAGATATTGTCCGTTTTCTCAGCAGCTCGTTCTCAAGGCAGTACCTATCTAGAACGCAGTGTTCGGTTTCCTTTCCCGCAAAATGGCACCTGTTTATTTACCTCAGAAGGATGTAAGGATAGTGACCTGACTGAGGCACGATCTTGGGACCACCAGATTTTGAATCTGACGCATTGCTGACTCAGCAACCTCGATCGACGAGAACTCTTCTGAGCAGTTAGATGAACGCGCCGAGCATACGCCACTCACTTGAAAGCGGATGCGTATTTTTTGACCGGAAGCAGGCTGTGCAGAAACGACAATTCAGCTACCTCGCCGAAGTCCAGAACGTTACGCTTCGAGCTGAAAGAAGAACGGCAAGCGCTTTAACAGCGTTTTTCGAACGGGGCCAACGCACACTTACACAGCGTACAATTTATGGGCGCTGCGAACCAGCATATGAACGCAGTAGACGTTGACGACGTTAGTGAAGATGAGGAAGAAAAAGCCACACTACAAAAAATAATGGTTAGTGAAAAGACGACTCGATTAAATCTCCCAAACCTTACCCATAAGCCGGCATTGTAAAACGCTTCAGGCAGTGCCAGCAAGCCAGTACCCACCATACCCTTGATGAAGTTCATCAACGCCTGATCGTCGCTGAAAAGTAACAGCAGGTGAAGCAGCAAGGAATGAACAGCGAAAGAAACCGATCTTACTTCATGCCATACGCCATCTTCGACCTGTCCCCATGAAGCTGGCGGTAAAACTTGTCGTCAAGCTTTATTTCATTAGGCTGAAACCTTTCTTCATTGTCTATGCCATACTGGTCTCTGCTTCTGCTGCCAGAGAACACAACCTCGGTCGGATTTAAGGGAAGCGCTTCTAGAACATAAACTGTATCATTAAGAAACATCTAACACCTGATCATGGAGTCAAGCCGATGATTGAACGTTAGAAAGAACAAAAACAGCTTTGCTGTTACTCCTGAATCATAGGGATTCACCTAAAGCAACCAAAGCGCCTCCCATCATCCAATTAACCGTTTCTCAGCTGGTTGAAACAATGTATAGA